TTTTGCAGGTGGTGCGAACAGTCCATATTTGATTTGTGATTGTTTAAAATCGAAATTATTAATTTCAGATCTTTCATGAATTAACTCTTGAATTGAAAATCAGTTTCGGACAATTTCGGACTAAATTGGACCAAATCTGTTTGGACCGAATCTATGGTTCGAAGGGGACTGTTTTCAGTCCAATTTTTTCTCACACTTGCTGTTCCAAATCTGATGTTCAATTACAGCGATTAATTTGGCCCACCTTTAAAGCCTAGTTTTAAATGGATTAAAACTGCAAAAGCTCACTCTTGTGAGAAAAGCTGTATGGGCCAAATTGTTATCTGCAATACAACCCATACACCTAGTAGACATTAATTGTTAATGTTATGTTTTTAAATGGGCTGTTTATTGGGCTTTACAGCAGTTAATCGATTGGATCAATTCTTCCTTTACATATGATGTTTGCATGTTGGATGTGCTGCGACCATGGGCCATAAGCACTTGGCCCATGATAATTTGTTAGTGGCTCTTGCGCACACAATGGCTGAATGCACATCATTGGCATGGTGTCCCTTAAGGTCATTGGATGACCCCTCCTTACTTGATGGGCCCCACTACCCTGAAAAGGGATGCGTGTGGAAACCCTAGCCGATTAAGGCCCACCAGAAATCTGACTTTATAAAAGTCAGTGGGAGTCACTCTGGTTTGACCTAAATTAGAACTAGGGCATAATTTTGTTCCCTCTAGCAAATATGAGTGCATGTGATAGGGAGATCCATATGATGGACTCTCTAAAGGCCTTCCGTCATTAGCACAATGATGGATTCTTCAGTAATGAGGAAACACACCATAAAATTGGGCTATCCATTTGCTGTTGGATCTGTTAGAGTGTTTCATAAGATGATAGGGGCGTCATAGACCGATGTGTGAGGGGCTTCACCAGAAAATGAGAACTCTCTCACGGTACTTTGCCGTAACCTGAATATGATGGGTGAGCACTCACTGGACAGAAATGTTTACCTGGAAACAGCTCTGAACCTTGTCTGACAGAGGCCAAAGGGAAACTCATTCGATGAGTGGATATGATTCGTCACAGAAAGGTGGTGGGGTTATGTAGCTGAAACAGTTGGCTTCACACACCCCATGTGATGTCCCACATTTCCAGAGACATTTCGTCGTCTCCGTCACTAAGAAAGGAGGGAAATCTCAGAGATGAAAAAATGGGAATGAAACATAGATTAAAAACCATATCTATGTAGGTAACATGAATCAAACTAAGGTTGTGGCCTAACGTCTTTGCTATTTTATCTGAAAATGGCAAACGGTCAATTTGCAAAGCTTCTAGACRATAACAAGCTTAAGGGCCCAAACTATGCCGATTGGTACAGAAATCCTATGCTGGTCCTAACTTCCGAAAAGTTAGATAAGGTGGTGAAAAATCCTGCCCCGGAGTGTCCAGGTGATAGGGCTTCTGAGGCCCGTAGGAGGGACTACCAGGATTGGGAGGATAAGAACTCCCTAGCCCGCTGCTTTGTCATTGCMTCAYTRGACAACTCAATACAGAGGCWGTTCGATCAGATCGAACTAGCCAAGGACATATTGGACAGTGTAAAGACAATGTATAAAGAGTAGAATCGTTCTACTCGACAGAAGGTCCTGAAACTGTTCATGATCGCGCAGATGTCTAAAGGGAAAAAAGTTCATGACCATTGTCTTCGGATGATGGGCTACATTAACGAACTCGAAGCCCTTGGATCCAAGCTAGATCTTGGTACGCAAGTAGATGCCATCCTGAATTCTTTGCCCTCTTCCTTCAATGCGTTCCCAATGAACTACAACATGAATAAGCTGAATGTCAGCGTCCAGGAACTCAGCAATATGTTGCAGAGGGCCGAGGATTTACTTAAGAAGGATGAGCCTGTGGTTATGCTTGCTGAAGCTAACAAATCGGGCAAGAAAAAGAGAAAGGCAAAGAAG